TGGGGGGGGGGGGGGGGGGGGAGCTCAACAAGGGAAAACAAAAAAGAAGATGTCAGAACTCAAAGAGTTGGTCATCTTTTTCGGCCTCCATCATGGAATCTACTTTGTCCCAGTCAACCGGCGAGAGGATCTGAGCACTTTGGATGTCTTGAGGGGTCAGGCTGATGTCAAGGACCTGTGGGTTGGTTCGCGACTGTGCCAGCCTGGAAGGACAAGGCAAGATAGAAGAAGTGTGAGGAAATGTAACTGGAGGAAAGTGCTAGTGCTGGTTTACCAAGGAAGAGGAGGAGGAAGTAGAGAATGAAACACACCATTTGATGCTACAGGTAGGACATACTTAGAAAGCTCCCTCACAGAAATGTAGAACTAGATCCCAGAAAAGACGAAAATAGCTCACCAGGAAAAAGGCCCTAAGATGGCTTTTGGATGGAAAATCTGGTTTTTCTATGGGCAGGGAGCATTTCTCCAACATGATCTTCTTGAGTCCTCTCTTATATTTTTTGTGTTGTAAACTGAAGCAGACAGGTGACCTCGCAGGCATTACAGAATATACAAAATAAATTAAAAGTATATAAATGAGAATAGCATTTTTTAAAAAAAAATCACGGAGCTTAGATTCGAAATTGTTCACCCATCACCATCTTGAGGCCACCCCCAACATGGTCTTGCCTTCTGCAGTAAACAGTAGCTCAGATCATTCTACCATCTTCATATGCTCTTATCTCAATCTCCTCTCTCTATAGGCCAACCCTAAATGGTAACATTATTGAGGGCAAATGTTGCTTGCCTAGTTCAAAACACTCAGGCAGTAGGTTTAAGAGGATGTTTAGAAAAAGAATACTAAGATTTGTTACTCCAAGATGTGGTGGATGACCCAGGCTTTGAATTCACAGAGAAGAGTGGGCTCATATAAAATGCTAGTAGTCCAAATGCAACGTGCATGTCCAGGGCTGGTACAGCACTGAGAAACAACAAGCTATTCAGAGGCAACAGAATCTGATTTCACCCAACCAGTCCCTTCTTTTTAAATGTCATTTGGTCCCAGGAATACAAAAAGGGTGGAGGCATTTAGGCTCCAAGCTCAGAAATGCCCACAAGTTATTTCATCTCTTGTAAGGCACCTTCAGCTGATGGCTTGCTTCTCCAAATACTATGCAGGGCTCTTGATGCACAAGAATGTGAGTTGTGCTGCTCCTTGAGGACCCAGAATTAGGGTGCTGTGTTTAATATGGATGCTTGTTGGCTTAGGGATCCCAGTTCTACCTTGAGAAACGTTGGGAGGCTCAACTGCTTGAATGAAATTTCGATATCATTTGAAAATAGCAGTTCTCAAAATGTTTGAACCCAGTTCACCAAAATGTATACTAGGGAGATCTGTACCAAAAGGCATGCATGCATGCAAGTAAGGTACACAACTGGATTCTACTAGGGGAAACTATCTGGAAAAGAAAAATGCATCCGGCAAATTGCAAATTAAAATGCTTGTTTGGGAAAAAGAATCCCCAAAGGGAACCAAATTTTAACATGCATTAGAAAAATCTGAAGTCCAATGAGCCAAACTTGGCAGTTTCGCAAAAGTAACAAAATGAGAAACAATGACACTGAAAGAGTCACAAAAATGAGACATGGAGAGAAATGGATCAATCCATTCGTGCCTACTTCATACTCTTGAAAACCCTCATAATGCCTCTGTGCAAGGCTGACCAGCAGAGGGAGCAGTTGGTCCAAAGCTGCCAGATGACCTCACAAGTCACCGAAGGACCGGGTGCTTCTCATGTGCCAATAATGCAACTTGGGAGGACCTGTGAGAACATCTTCCCTGCCCTGAAGGACTATCCTCGCAGGAAACTTTCCTGCAGACAAATGAACAATAAGGGCAAATCTTGGAAAAACCTTTAGCAGTTTCTCAGCCTAGTGAAAGACACAACTCTGTGGGTATGTCCATACGCCTCCAATGCTCTGCGTGCATGGAGGAAAATAAATTTGGCCAAAAGATGAGTAAGAACCACTCACACAATAATATACTATAGGCAGAAAGGTGGGGGACGGTACAGGGTGGGGGACAGCACACACATCTATTTAAACAGACATGTACAGCTGATTTGAAACACTTATTTGGGCCACACGATTACCCCAAATTATAGTGTGTGTATCAGTCACAACTGTAACACATCACCACCATCTGCTTCCTAGCCAAAAGCTTGCTTTCCTTCTAGGTCAAGGGAAAGCTTCTTAACAGAGGAAACGTAATCTTTCTCAACATCACGCTTCCCTCCCCAGACTTTTTATCAGGCGCTTCCAGGCAGATGACACCTGCTTGTTCCTCTATTCAGGAGCCCTGCCTTCACCTCCACCGGGTGAAATGTTGGTCTTCGTAAAAGGTGGGGGTGAGGACCGGCAAGCCCCATACTGGCACAGCCTTTGCAGATCAAGGGCAGAGGCTTTCTTGCATGGCCAAACTGGCCAAAAGCAGAAGCGGTGGCAAAAATGAAATGCCACCCGGGAGTGACTGTTTTTCTTGCCCTGGGGCAATTTGTACGGCCGGGAGGTGGCGTTTCCAATTCCTCGCTGCACGTGGCTGACTCGGCGGCTCATCTTGAAGTCTCTCAGCACATCGGGAGGGATGGATAAAAGTTCTGATTGCAAGCTAAGCTGAAGCCCAACAAGCAATTGATTAGCCTCTTATACCCATAACAGGTTAAACCTGCTGCTGCCGCTGCTCTGGGAAGATTGATGTCAGGCCTAGCCCAAGGAACTCCAAGAGACAATGCAAATTCAGTCCAGTTATGTTTATTAGCTACAACCTAACTCCAAGAGACAATGCAAATTCAGTCCAGTTATGTTTATTAGCTACAACCTAACTCCAAGAGACAATGCAAATTCAGTCCAGTTATGTTTATTAGCTACAACCTAACTCCAAGAGACAATGCAAATTCAGTCCAGTTATGTTTATTAGCTACAACCTCTAGCAAGAATCTTCCCAGACTGAAACCCCAGCTCCCAAAGTCAGCCAGCCACAACAGTGTGAATTCCTCAGGGAGGTGCCAGTCTCATCCTCTTGTTCCTCCCACGCTCTTCTGGGGAGCTAAGAAAATGTTTATCTCCCTGAGCCTAGCCTTCAGAATCCCATTCCATCACATCAATTCCCCTATCCCATCCAGCCTTTGGACCATCATCCCCCTGGGGATTAGATCGGCCGTGAGGTTTGCAAGGAGTTAAAGGCATGGTTCTGCCGCCGAGCCTGGGGATCCAGATATGTGGTAGAGCCTGTACAATGATTATGCTGATTGGTGGGGGGGTTTCTTATACCTCGGCTGCTGACCGTGTTGTACGGCTTTTTAATAAATGATTTTAATATTGCTCGTTTTTATGCACTTTTTAATTGTTGTAAGCCGCCCAGAGTCATGTGTTTGATGTATTATTTCAATTTATATGAAATCTCAATCAGTCAAGCCATCCCCTTAAATACAGGGCAGAAAAAAATACATCTATCTATGCTATACACCCATTCAAATGTGCATTTCTTGCACGTGCGTATGTGACAAAGTAAGTCAAGGTACTCAAGTGGCTTTGCGGGCAAGGAAGCCTTCCTTGAGCGTACATGGTCATCACCTGGAGAGAATCTCAACATTCCCGAGCTGAGTTGTATTTGGCTTGATAGCTGCCAAGGCTTTAGAGGCGGTGGCTGATCAGGGACATCCATAAAAGCCAGCTTTATTTATGGAATCTCTCCTCATTGCGTTTTTACAGGTTGGGAGGCAGAGGCAGAGATGAGCTTGTGAAGTTTTCCAGCTTAGGTGCCAAAACAGTTTGCTTAGCTCTAGATACTGTGAACTTTGGTGAGGAGAGGTGGGTACATGAACCAGCATTGTGGGGTTAGATGAATTAGTCATTATGCTTTCTCTGTCACTCTTGTTTATTCCTAAGCTTGGTTGGCCCCATTCTCATGCTGTTCAGATTCCTTTCCCAGCTTCCATTAAAACTGATTTTTCTTTAAATAAAAACAGCTCTGATGATGGTTTACAATAACAATAATCACTCTTAAATAAGAGCCTTCAGATTTCAAATCAAAAACCCTAATAAAACATTACCTTACAAAAATAGATGAAATCACAAAAGCAGCCCGTGCCCACAAACAGGGCTGAAAGCTCGCTGAAACAATATGAACTTAACAACTCGGGGACAAGCTATTCTACATCTGAGGGTTCTTATTTAAGTGTTGTTACTGTTATTGTAAACCATCACCAGAGCTTTTTTATTTAAATCAAAATAAGTTTTAATGGAAACTGGGGAAAGAATCTGAACAGCATGAGAACGGGGCCGCCACCAAGAAGGTGTTTATATGTATTATTGTGGAAACTCCATGGGAATGAGACAAACAATGAGTCATGAGGAAAGTCCTCTAAAAGTGGTAAAAGGGGTTATCTCCAGGCCACTGTCTGCAAGTTGTGTGAAATGACCCTAAAAATGCATCCAGTTTACCATCTCCAGTCTTACTGCCTTTGAAATCTGGCCCAATTGTTGGATTTTATGGGCTTCTTCCCTGCATTTTGTCAACATCTCACCTGACAAAGGATTTGAGAGAACCTAAAAGTATGTACTCTGTGTGTGTGTGTGTGTGTGTGTGTGTGTGCGCGCGCGCACTGCTACGTGACCGACTACTTGACTGAATTTTCTCCCAAGTTCCTCCCCTTGCAGGTTGGGAAGTGAAATGAAAGCAGAGACTTAAGCAGGTTGCCCTCCATTTTAGCAGAGGAGGGCTTCCAGCTTCAGCAACCTCCATTTTACCATTCTGCGTGTGCAGAAGCAAGCATTCACCAAGAGGCTGAAGCGTTTAAGGGATTTAATCCCCTACTGTACACACAAATTAGCTCCTGCCCTAAGAAGTTATCAAAATATTTGACTTATCCAAGCAGCCGAATCCCTTTTTCAATTAGCCAAACAGACCACCATTGAAGGGTTGGGCTGCTGTTGACAGTTTAGCTTAGAGAAAGGGAAGGGAGAGGAAGGGATGATTAATCAAATCTGTTTTTTGGCCAAGCCATTAGCAGAAAGATGCTCCTGGAAAAAATGGTCATAATTACCTTGAAAATGCTTCATCCAGTTCATCATCCATTGCCTTTGTTATAAAAAGAAAGGGGAGGGGAGAAGTAGAATTATAAATCCCACTGAAATGAAAATTATTCAGATATCACACAGCCTTAAGCAGGTGTCTTTTCTACTGTATTGCAATTCCTTCTTAAAATGGGAGGGGAAATACCCATCAAACAAAGCCTTAAAATATTGGTAGATTTGTACTAGCTGGCTCTGAGGTCAATAGCCCATAGTTCTTTGTTAGATGACAACCTGACAACACAGCATATTAGGCTCACGGCCAAGGCATCTGACAGGGTAAACCTGGACCTCTCCAACCATCTTCTGTCCACCTGCTTGCTGTCCACATTCGCTGGGGAGGATTGGGTGGAGAAACCATCTGCTTAGTTCCAGCACTCCCATGCACGGCAGTCCTCTTGGGGCCAAAGGCTACCAAAGGACTGATGACCTCTCTTCTGCCCGGGCACCAGGCCAAGGCAGGCAGATTCCAATTCAGTGTGAGATGAAATGATATAAGCAGTTGGACAGTGAAACCAGTTGCCCAAGGAAGTGCTCGGCTGCCCTTTGCTGGATGTGTCCAAATGGAGTCAGGGGAGTCATCTGGTTTGGATGCTTTCCCTGCATGCCCGCGTTGAGCAGGGGTTGGTCTTGATGACCCGAGTGGCCCCTTCTGACTCTCAATGATTCTAACAACCCTGGTATTCACAAAAGATGACTGGTATGCTATTCTTTGTTGAAGAGCTTCAAATTCCTTGCAGGAGAGACGCTTAGCTCTGGATTCCCTGGTCAACACAGACCAGATCGCCTAGAAAATCCCTCTCCACTTCTGTGTGCTTGTGATCCCTACAGCCCACCAGTTAACAAGTGCAGAGAGACTGAAAGCAGCAACCACACACAGACTATCAGAGAGGTGGGGGAACCTACATTCCATCAGGAGTTCCCGAACTACAATGACTAGCTTCTCCCCTCCTTAGTCATGCTGGTTGACGCTTATGGGAAGTTGCCCTTTTGCCATAGGGAGACAGCCACCGGTTCTACTCCCTGGCACTTGAGCCCCCTAGCAAGAAGCACTCTGAAACTCAGGACATGGCACAGCATGAAAAGCATACGTCTGAGCCACTCTTTCAAGTATTCAGCGTATGATCCTGCCTTTCCCCAGCATGAGCAAGGTGGGTATGCAAACAAGTAAAGAAAAGAAATGATGTAATTCTACAGGAAATTATTTGGACTTGACCATTAATAGGACAATGCTGAAGAATCAATGACCAACAGAGGGCTAACTTAGGCCACCATAAATATGAGAAAAGGTGGTGGTTCCACAAGTGTACAATGGTGTGGTGCCACATCCTGATCTCTCCTTACTTGCTATATTACTGGGAGAAAAAAAATAACCCTGAAAAATGAAACCACTTTCTTTTCTTTGATCAGAAAAGGTTGGGATGTCTGAGCTGTAAAACAAAGTGCAGAGGAGACAGGAAATGTGCCTCAACTTGATGGAGCAGCCTAGGGGGACAATAAAACATGCCGCAGATCTCCAGATCCACAAAAACAGGCAATTTGGCTTCCATTCCAGCAGCAAATGGAAAAGGTCTTTCAGAAAGACGCCCTGTAACTCAATAGCAAGTTGCTAGTCTGATTTACCTATTGTGCAAAGCTATGGCTTATTTTAATTACAGTTTACTGTATTAAATAAAGCACAACTGATTAAGACTGTACAACACACTATGTCATAATCCATCTCAGGCAAACCACAATGATCAGATTTCAACAACACACCAAGCCAAAATCAAACATTAGAGCTGGATATGATGCATGTAGTTATTAAATGAGACCTTTGCCAAGATCACTGAGTGCTTCTGACACACACTTACCCACACGTTATTGTTTTCTGAAGAATGTGACCCAAAGATGCTGCCATCCAAGTGCACAGAATTTATGTTCATGGTCAAAGGAGTTTTGGTTACATTTTCCAAGTCTAGCAGGTTTTCTACGGCGACTGCTGTGTGTGGAAAGGAAAGAAATTAAGGACGAGGAAGCTTAGGAGGGAAAAGCGTTAGGCCTTTCTTTCCAGTCTGGGATAGGATGCAAGGCTGCATGTGTGGCTACAGAATTCCCTTGAATTTTCCAGGAAGGAGAAGAAAAAATATGGGTCCACAACAGCACCTGTCAATTTGCTAGGGTGAGCTAGCCCCAACTCTTTTCAAGAGTCTGCAGAGCAGCAGAAAAGCTCCTTCCATGAGCTGACGCCCATGGACTGACAACATTCTTAAAGTATTTTATTCTCCATTGATATTTGAGCGTTCTTACGGTTTATGGCCAAGAAATAAAACTGACTGCTTCTCTTGCCCTATGCCTGCTTCACTCCCAGAAGGATTTCAAGAGCTACAGACTAGTTCATGGAGTCTCTCAGCTGAAGCATAGCAACAGGAAGCGTGAACAATATGTATATTAAATCAATGCAGAAAATGTTTTCCAGATCATCTGCCTTGCTCATACGGTAGTGAAAGTCAACTGTCCACGCTTAATTTCCACAAAAAGTGGTGGCAGGCAGGAGTGAAAGTTGCCTGGAGGTTCTTGATTCTGCTGAGAGTGACAGCAGCAACTGATATACATTTACTAGTGACCATCATCAGATGAACAAAAAGGAGGCACTGAAGTGGTAGATCCTTCAACAAGCAGTTCTTCTAATGATAGGACATATTTTTTTAAAGTAGAAACACAGGAAGGGTGATAGGTGCCCTGTACCCAGCCAGACCAATTGGTCCCTCTACTTAGCTCAATATGGTTTACTCTATTGTCTTGCAGCAGCTCTCTAGGAACCTAGTCCAAGATCTTCTCCAATTCTACAAGGAGATGTTGATGTCTTAGCCAGGCTCTCTTTGCATGGAAGTCATATCCATGAGCTCCAGCCTGTCACTCAGTAGCTCCCATTTAAACATTTTAGCATTATTTACATCATCCCAGACACCTCACAGCACAGTTGTAGCACATCTGCAATGCCCAGCAAAGGTCCCCAGTTCTAGCTGTTGCATTTCCATTACAGATATGAAAAAACTGAAAATCCTGGAAAGTCACTGCCATCACACATCATTAACAATATCCAGGCCAGGTGAATGACTCAGGGTAAATCAGTTTCCTCTGCTTATTCACAGATTTAGGTGGCATACATGGAATTCCTTTTCCAACTTTATCCCCATAACAACCCTCTGCGGTGGGTTGAGCTAATGATTGGTCAAGAGTCATCTTGTGAACTTTCATGGCTCAAGGTGGATTTGACCTAACGTTTATGGATTCTGAAGATGCCAACTATGAGACACCACCTAGAGCAGTGTTGTCCAAACTTGGCCACTTTAAGATGAGTGGACTTCAACTCCCATGCTGGCTGGGGAATTCTGGGAGTTGAAGTCCACTCATCTTAAAGTGGCCAAGTTTGGACAACACTGACCTAGAGCTTTCAATTACTTGTATCTGTGTTATCTGGAGAAGCATTTTCAACCAGAGTGGATCATACACGCAGACAGAAACACACACATGCGGATCAGAACGAGACAGCATACAAATTGTTTGGTGCTAATTTGCAATGTGCTTCTGATCCCTGCTGTAGAAGATGGAAAGCCCCTTTGGTTTCGCTACCTTATACCCCACCCAGCCATTTAATTTAAGGCAATTTGCACCATGCAGGCTTTCGGAGACAGTTTTTGCCGCAAGACGATCGCAAGAAGAATATCACTTAAACACAATACTTGGAAGGCGTGACCCCATTTTACAAGCTGCACAATCCAGGCTGTTAAAAGTTTTAATGGGTCCTTGGAATGGCGCAGAGAAAGTTGCTGGAGGGAAAGTGGAGGACTGCCCTCTCTCTTCCTTTCTGCCCTCTCAAGAATAACACACACATAGGATTCATGACGAAGAAGCCAAAAAGGTCACAAGTGCTGCTAAGCCCGCAATGGATTCCAATCAGGGTGTCAGTGACATTGGTACACGCGGTCTGCACCTGAAGCTTAGCATTTTCCAGGAAGTGAGGGGGAGGGGATCCAGCTGAAAAATACAAATGCAATTCCCTCCTCATTTTATACCTATGAGACTCGTGTCTCATGTCATACACTTTATCAAGAAGTGTTACAGGAGCTCCTTAGGCAGGCATGTGCTCAAGGAGAGTAAGAAGATGCAGAGTAAGAAGATGCAGAGTAGCGCGCTACTTCCAGTGCTGGGGTGATGAGTGCCTTTTCTTACATTGCCATAATGGTACCAACCCCATGCAAGGATGGGGCGGGGGGGAGCCCTGACAGCTTGAGGAACTTCAAGGTTGGCAAATGTACTAACACACCAATAAATAAATACGAAGGGGAAGGGAGAAAACCAGTTCAAAGAGGACTGCATGCATCGAGGGGCTGCAGAATGCCAGCTAAATAGAAAGGAGAAAATTTAAAATAGGGTGGAGGAAGAATGGAACGGAGTGGCAAGGATCCTTAAACTCTACCCTACAAGGTCCGTTTGCATCATTTCTTTAAAAAAGAGTGCGCAACAGTCTCTTGTTTCTCCAGATGCAAGCCTATAGTAAAACAGTAATTATGGATGCTACATCTTTTTACAGGGGAAGAGGAGGGCCAAGGTTTCATACAGCCTCGGTACCCCCCTTTTTTGCAACCCCCACTCCTAGACCTTCGGATGGCTCCCCTGAATTTTCCGTTTGAGGCAGGAACTGTACAAGAACTGTAACATGAAACTAAACTAAGCTTCACGGTGAAAACAACAGCAGCAGCAACAGCCAAGAAACACTTCAGCTCCCCCCTTCTCTCACCAACCAATAACAACAAGAGGGAAAAAACATGAATTCCCAACTTCCCAAACGTTTATGATGCAACAATTCAGCTCCTCTTTCTTTGCAGCTTCTGACCTTTCCAAACCATTCGGCACAGCCCTTAGCTGGCAGAAGTTATCCCCCCCAGTTTAAAAAAAAGAAGCAATTGGAAATGTTCACTCGGAACGGTTACTGCAAATGCTCAAGAAGTTGTTACTGTTTGCCCATCTGGGCAGGCTTCACAAATGAGTGAGGAATGCCACATTGTCATCCTGGCAGTCTAGGCTAGTTCTCCTATGCTCAGCCCTGCAAGTTTTAAAATTGAAATAAATACATAAATAAATAATACGCTCCTAAGATTCTATGAAGATGGCAATCTATTTGCGCTATTTGTATGCTGGCCAAAATCACATCCAGGTCCTCCTCCTTCAAGACATCTAGCCCTATACCCAGCTCTTCATTTTTCTTCATGCATGCTTGAACTGGTGGGATACAAATATTACAGACTGGAGAAAGTCCTTAGAGCAGAAGCAGAGTGCTTCTTAACCTCCCCCAACCTGTTATTCTTCAAAGATGTGGGATCACATCTCCCAGAATTCCTAATCTGAAGACCAGGCTGGCTGAAAATTCTGGGGATTCTAATTACCAAATCTGGAGACCATCAAGTTGCGTAAGAGGCCACATGCTTCATATTAGTAGGAGCCCTAATTTAATCTCTGCCACTTCCTCCTACGAAGCAGGGCTGGGGAAAAAATCCTTACTGGAGACCTAGGAGAACTCCTCCTTAGGAGACGTACTGACCCTGGGATACTGAAAAGTCCTGATCTTGATCCTAAGATACTAGGGAGCTGCTGAGAGCTGGAATAGACAGTAGGGTGCAAGATTTATCTCTTTAGAGATGTTTTTCACACCACTATTTGGCTCAAGAAAATGCTCCCAGACGGGATTGCAAAGAAGTGTCATAAAATAGCTCCTGTTATCAGGCTTACAAATAAAGAAGGGCAGGCATTTGCCTGAGATAACAACTCCCAAACTCTCCTGCCATATGTCATGAGGGCAAAGGCCAACAGGAACTAAAGCTCACAATGCTGGAGGGTACCAGGTTGCCATTCCGGATCCAATGGATATGTAACATCCCCTGCCTTATAGCTCATAGATGATATGCCCACCTACCAGGAGTCTACAGAATCTATATTGATTCCAAAAGGGAGCCACACACATGAAGTACAGGTAGTCCTCGACTTACGACCCCAATTGGGACCAGAATGTCCATCACTAAGCAATGAAGTTGTTAAGCGAGTCGTGCCTGATTTTACAACCTTTTTTGCTGCAGTCATTAAGCAAATCCAGATTCCCTCACTGATTTTGCTTGTTGGAAGCCCCCTGGGAAGGTCACAAATGGTGAACACGTGACCCCGGACCTGCAACCATTGTAAATACATGCCAGTTGGCAAGCGCCCAAATTTTGATCAAGTGACTGCAGGGACGCTGCAACAGTCGTAAGTGCAAGGGACTGGTCATAAGTCACTTTTTTCAGTGCTGTCATAACTTCAAACGGCCATTAAACAAATGACCATAAATCAAGGATTACTTATATGTTGGCCAAAGAGAGTAGTTTTGGCATTCAGATTCTACTTTCTTTCCAAGTCCCCTTTCTTGGAGTAATTCAACCAAGTCTCCCTTCTACTAAATCCTTGGTCACTTACGTCCTTTTGAGGAGGCAGAAGTATCTGAGTTTGGGCTGCTAGCAGTCTCTCCTTCCAAGATGGCCTTGTCTCGCTTCTCCTTCTCTGTCATAGTAGCAGGGGGAAAGAAGGGAAACAAAGATCTCATCAGCTTCTTTGTCAGTTTTAAGATCACATGCCACAAAACTGCATTATACTCTACAGCAGTGTTGCCAAACTTGGCCACTTTAAGATGAATGGACTTCAACTCCCAGAATTCCCCAGCCAGCATCTACTCTGCTCTACAAGCAAGGTAAACAGGGTGGGGTTTTTTGTCCTGGGTCCTGTACTCTGTCTTTGAGCCCTAGTTGGTGAGTGATAATACATCCCCAAACTGGAAGGAACAGACAGTTTAATCTCTTTTTGAGTAGAGGATGGGTAGGTTTAGAGGTACAACAAATGCCTTAAATCTTGCAGAGACTTATGGCTTCCATTTTGCCTCTTAATCCATCCAAAGGGGGAAAAATGAGCTCATTTTGAGGAGAGTTGGTTTTCTAGGGGGAACAATGTTTGTTTTCAGTTTCTACAAGATTCAAGACACCCATTTTATCCCCTCAGGCTGTCCAACCTACATTTGAACATGTTTTGAAAATTCCCCACCCAACTTGGGTATATGAATGGACCGTTAGGTGCCTGCATGTGCCCACCACAACCTTACAATATCCTATTCCATCTCCAGATAGGAAAAGTCAAACTTGCAACGATTCCTACCACAGACACATCCAGGAGGGACAAAGGCTCTCAGGAGGGACAAAGCTGAAACCCAGGCTTGAAGGATAGGCCACCTGGAACAGAACCTTCTTGTGGCAATGTCTTCTTTATCGTAGGCTCAAAGGGAGAACAGACAACACTAATGTCCTACAACATTCCTGAGGCAGCACCGCATTGTGGGAAATTGAAACAACAGTTCCATATAGATCACATTGCTCCAGAGTGACCACCCATAGAGACATTGTGAGAAAATAAAAATGGTAGCTATTTGAATGACTAGTGCAGAGCACTGGGAAAACTTTTTTAAAAGGGAGGGCTGGGAACAGTTGTTGGTAAATGGTCCAATAATACTAGTCTAAAACAAAAATAACTTCCCAACAAAAATTTTACTGGTGTGCAAACCTATTCATGAATAGAAATTAATGCCCACATTACAATATGTAATGTGCACTATATCTCAAATGGCCCAATAGCTACGTAAGTTGAATCTAGACCCTTTTCTCATTCATTTTGCATTTTGGTCACCTTATCACACACTGGTCTACTTATACTTGCTGATGGTCTAATGTCAACTGAGGAAGGGAGGGATTTTATGGAGATGCGTTCTTGTGAATCTCTGGCAAGGGGGGATTCCAGGTGGGAAATGGTTCTGGGAGGTCTGGTGCTCCCCGTAGGTAGAATGGGTGCCCCTTGGGGGCTACTCAGTGGCAGAGGCGTGGGAAGAGCAGAATGAAGGAGGAAAGGACGTCCAAGCCAATCTCTCTCCTATACACGACATCAACCTTTTACCCTTTGCAACCGTTAAACAAGGGTGGCAAACAGAGAGGGCTTCTCATACCAGCGTGATGCCAAGCCTGGGGAAGCCACTTAATCACAGCCACAGTCAACCTGGAACGTTGGCGCCGTGCCAGCAGCTGTCCCAACCGATCCTCCACTGACAAAGAGACAGATGGCTTCTCTGCTGTAAACATACTCTTCATCTGTACCACGTGGTCAGCCACAGCCAGAAGCCCTGGCTGAGTGCATTTCCTCAATGTGCATGAGGGAGCGTGTTTGTGCACGTGCAACAATGAGGGACAGGAAGAGTAAGAAGTGCTTGAACACTGGCCTGACAACTATTTTCTTACTCTTCTCAAGCTAATCAAGGGTAGGGGTACAGGCAGCAACCCACAAGGTTCAGTCCCTGGGAGGGAGATCTGTATTCACCCAAAAAGGGTGGGCAATTCACAGTCCTTAGAGAGCAGGTGCTCTCTGGCAACTACCCCTTAAGAGTATTCTGCCAACACTTGGGAATAAACCACCCAACAACATTGTACTGTTTTTCTGGATTTTCTTCAAGATCAGAATTAAAATGACTGTGCAAGTCCTATCAGTTGAATGTCCTCTTTTACTGGCCACAGCCCAAACTCTTTCAAACAAAAATCCACAATGTAAAGGAGGCTCTCAGCATGCAAAAATAATGCCCCTGAAATTTGGGAGCAAAGTAGCCTGTGTTGGACAGCACAGATTTTGTTTTCTCCTCAGTCAGGATGGAAATTGCAGAGTGAGACCTCTGGAAGATAGCCCTTAACTCTCTTCCTAATAATGTGTTAAATTTGGCCATTTTGCTGGTGAATTAGGGTGCCGTGTTTTGGGGCCCTTTAGAAGGATCGGGGGTGTTCGTGTTAAAAGATAGAAATGGGAACTGCTTGACTCCAAGAGGTTGCCCACTCTTGACACATGCAGGAACAGTGGCGCACAAAATATTTGGAATTTGCAATGGTCCAAACTCAAAGCACTCCATTCCAAGCTTGAAAGAACCGTGATTCAAGTGTGAACCAACTGTCCCAACCTCACCAGAAATATTCCACGCTCAAAACACTCCTTTCGAAACTGGAAACACCTTTTTCTAATTTGGAAGGACACCTGGAACTCTTCAGAATGGTTGGGACGGTGCAAGATCACTACCGTACTTAAGTCAGATCCACCCTTTTCAATGTCAAACTGGGTCCAATTTTAGATTCTGTGCACCCCCGCACAGGATGATCTCTCCAGGTGACCTTAGCTTCAACTTGGCTTGGTCCCAGGTTGAGTAGGACTTGGATGATAATCACAAAACTCCGACCTTGGCTCGGGAGCTAATTCAATGGAGGAGCTTCCAGACCAAGTGCAAGGGCCTTGGTCAATCAAGACCTACGCTCAACCCTCTACATCAGTGTTTCTCCACCTTGGTAACTTTTAAATAAGGGGGGTTTAAATTCCCAAATTTTCCCCCCCACGGGATGTTGGGGGGGAGTTGTGGTGTGTGG